ATGAAAGAGGGTTTTGTGGTTGTTACAGGAGAAGGGAAATCTCTATTTGTTCATTAAGTCGTACTAGAGAGCACTCAAAAGAAAACATTCCACGCTACATACAGTAAGCTTTTCGCTCACTGTTTACAGTTTTCCCCGAGCTTCGCTCTCGGAAAACTGTTCGCATCTTGGAATAGATAATTTCCGCATCTTGGAATAGATAATGTCCGCAGACAAAAATATCCGCCGAGTAGAGGCTATTGTTTATCTCTCGTTCATATAGTCATATTTTTGTGTGCACTACTAAATCAACAATATCATGACCCCCCTATAGGACCTGACCTATTTCCTGTCAAGTGGCAGTGAGTTCTTACTCGTCCTCATTTGCTCTACGGAAGTCGTTGTCCTTAAATTTGTGGAATCTAAAGAAAGGACCGGATCGTCCTAGATTGCTCATCGGAGGATTTAAATAGTTCACTACTGTTCTTCCTGGCAGCAGCTAAGCCGCTAGGGTGAGTATTAAGGCGAATATACCAGCTTAGACTGTGTCTACAATCGGAACTTCATCGACGCTTACTCGGCTTAACCTTGGGCGAGATCTTGATGGAATGAGGCCTCTCTGGCAGTGTACTCAAGGTTTTTTTTTGTACTGAGTTTAAATTTTCGTGGATTTCGAATAGACTAGGAGTTCAGAGTTACTTTCATACTAGAGAAAGGAAACGTCTTCGAGTACTTCCGTGTGTTCACTTGTAGCGTCCAAGTTCGATGGTTAGGTTGTCATTCAAGAGTTCGAGATTGTGTCATATTCAAATGTAGATTTCATTATCTGGAGGAATTTGATCGACTTGATCAATATAAAGTCTTACGCGTTTCTCTTCATTTTCTGATGTAAATTAATGTTCGCTAGATAATAATATAATAAGCGATCAATTAGTACATACAACAACTGTACCATGATCTTTGCCCAAAGTAATATTTTATCCTCGCTTTCGAATGTCTTCCCTCGCGTTCCATTCCATACAATGTACATCCCATCTAGTTCAGATACAGCAATCGTGCGCATTTAAACAATTGTGTAATAATTTCATTTACAGTGGAACTCGTTATACCTATATAATATTTTATTATCTGCAGGTAGAGGCCAGAGGGCCTTCTGACCCACAATGTCGAGTAACTCAAATCGGGTTGGTATCTCTTTGTGGATCAGTGATCTGTTTAAACTAATTTATGCAAGTAGATTTGTTCAAAAAATATTCTTGATGGTTTGTTATTACAAATCAGTGGTGTTAAGTTTATTGTAATTTCTTCTATTATTCTTGAATCTTGGGGGGTATGTTAGTTTTCTGTTTCCAATGCAGATTGTATTGCCAGAAGATTTGATTAAAGGCGCTACCGCACTGTTTTTCCTTGAAGGAAAACCTTGACCGAAACTTACTAAGTTCACCATTAGTTAATCCTGTTTTTATCTTCATCCTTAGCAGTTGCTTTTCCATTCAGCTTGTTATAGTCCCTCTTATTTATCAAAATTTTACAATCACCTCTAGGTTTGAGGTAGTTTTGCATGATGCAAGTCTCAGAATATCATTTTGCAGCTGCTTTACAATGGCGGCTTGTTTTTTGGCCATTGTAGCTTTATTGCATGTTTCATCATCATCATTTTCTTCTTTCTTGGTGAGACTTATTTTTCAGGCTCAAGTTTGTTTATTCTTTAATGTTATCCTCTCTCCATTTTTTCTTTTCATTTCTCTTTCTCCCTCTTTGTTTTAGTACCTTGCGGGAATTACATAATAAGTTATAATAACCACAAGATATCCCCATACCATAACAGTTTGTGTCCTTTTTTCATATTTAGACAGTTCTGATGGGACTTAATGGCTGATAAGATGCTAGACTTAATTTTACTGACTCTATAACTTAAAGGGGAACTGAAGCCCAATCTTGAACCAGTTTTAAATTGTATCTTATAGCTGAAATAGCTATGTCTTTGGGCTCAACCTCACCTGAAAAATTGTTTTATACCATGTTTTGACTCAGTAGCATCACTGCTCTGAAAATTGATGGTGGTGGTTAATATTACGCGATTAATATTCAACAGCTGCTAATGGTTTTGAGCTGATGTTTTTACGGCCTTCAAAGCAGGATAAAGGGAACTTAAAATCAAATTTTCTTGTAAAAAAGTAGTGAATAAAAATAAATACTGAGACTTATCTTATTCCTCTGAAGCTAACTAGAAATGGATACAAATAAAATGGCAGTTTTAGGCTTCGTTTTCCCTTTAACAATTGGCTGATTTTTGTATTTTCAGGTACCCTGGGCACAGGGAACTGAAGTGGAGGGTAAATACCAGTTTAGAGGACGGACAAGAGAGGTAGGCTTTATGCTCTTGAATACTTGAAACACATTCCATAAGAAATTAGAAAAAAAAAGATAATGTATCATGTGGTACCTAATATACATGTAGTTGTAGGTATGAAAATTCTATTTTTAAAGAATTAAAATGTGCTCTCCTTTATTTAGGATCTTCCTTTTGAGAAGGGCGAGATCCTTTGCATTGAAAGTGTTACGCGGGTGAGTATGGGAACATGCATGCTTCCACAGTTATATCAAAAGAACAGAATACATTATTATGAACAACTTTGTACAAACATTCAGTGAAGGATGTTTACCCATGAATTATCAAGACCATCTGTATCATTTATCACTATGAATTCTCTGTCTCTGTAGTGAAAAGTCGTTTCTTTTAAAACTTAATTCTATCTAGAAGAGTGTTCTTGCATTCATGTTGTTTGTAGATTATTGTATTCAAAATACTAAATGTGTTGGTTCAACTTGCACTGTTTTAAGAAGCAGCTATTTAAGGTAATTATAACAATATTTACACTTTTGGCTACTTTATGCGAGATGGACATGTCGTGAGAATTCCAGGACAATGGCCTCATCAAGGCTACTGGTTGTGTTGTGTTCTCAGTTCAGACAATATTGTAATAGTAAAAATGCCATAGAGTAACAAAATTTTAGCTTATTGAAACTTGTCTTTTTGTGCAACGATTTCTGACTGTTGCCAAAATAATGTAATCGTTGGCAGCCTTTGCCAAGTAAGAAATATCTTTTTTTGCTTTGTTTTTGTAAGTTAGAGTGATAAAATCTTTCTATCTTTGTCGTTGTATTATGAAATATTATATGGCCTGAGTATGTGATGCCTATTTTTCTAGCATGATTGGTTTTGTGAATTAATAGACATCATTGAAGAAATACCAGTGTTGTGTATTGTGTAAACTTGAGTATAGATACATAATATTTTCTGCCAATTTTTATTCAATTACATGACAAATTATGCATAGAAGAGACTGTGCACAAGCACTGAACAAATAATTAACTGTAGTTTTGTAAGGACTAAAGGTTGATTTAAGTTTTACTGACTTTTTATTTTTAGGACCCCAATTGGTACAGAGCTTCAAATCGTTTTGGACAAGTAGGAATGATACCTTACAACTATGTTAAAGAAAAAAAGAGAGCTGTTAAACTTCATGCAATGCCGTAAGTTGACATTTGTCTCATGAAGATTCCTACTAGTATAAGATTTCCATTCATTTCTGTGAACGAATATTTAGCTTCAAGCTCATTATAGGTTCTGAAAAGCCATGATCTAGAAATCTAGAAATTATAAGAATGAAACAAGAATAATTAATATGTAATATTATATCCATGAAATGGGAGGGCTTCTGTGATTCTACAGGAAGCCAATGTACTGAGTGAAAGGTAAATGTTTAATTAGGTTGGATGGTAATATATGCATTGTTATGTTACTCTCAGATGGTTTCATGGCAAGATCTCAAGGCAAGACGCTGAACAACTCCTTGACCGTCATGATGACGGCTTGTTTCTGGTTAGAGAAAGTGTCAATTACCAGGGAGACTATTCACTCTCTGTTTGGTATGTAGTGAAATGATCTTCTTCTTGATAATTAATGATGGAAGGAATGTATACATGATGGTTTTTAGGAACCATTTAATATGCACCACGAAGAATAATTATTGTTTCCATGTTACATGTTTGTATTATCCCCTTTAAATTAACTCTCAAGATTGGATTGTTAATTCTCCCCCTTTAGCTGCCACACATTTCCTTGTAAATTAGTCGTGAGTATTTGGTTTTAAATCAAGACAACAACTTCTACCTGATATATTTGATTGTTCTCATTACTTGTTTGCTGGATAATGTATAGATATTGTAGGGAGAAGTTAAATGTGAATCACGTATGGGAGTGAAAGGGTTAAGTGTCCTCTGTCCTTAACTCTTTTACTCCCAAGATCTCATCAGTGATTCTCCTTACTGTCTACCATACAGTTCTTGTCATGTTTGATATTGAGTCAACTTATAATCCTACTAGATATTTTTCTTTATTCTCATCACTCATGGGAGTTAAAGGGTTAACCACCATTAGTTGCCATAAGGATGAGTTTGATTCTAATGAGATGTCTGTTGTTCATTGGAATTTCATTAGCCATGGTGGTAAAGTTGAACACTACAGAGTAAGATACACAGAAGATAACAAACTCACCGTGGATGATGAAACCTTTTTTGAAAACCTTACTAAACTTGTAGAGGTATGTGATGCGTAATGCCACACAGTTTGCTTTAATGAGTTCATGCAGGTTGTTAGTTTATTTTGGAAACAACCCATTTCAGGTTTTAAAAAAATTAAGTTGTCTTTATGTTTAATTTTGTTTTTATTGTAGTTCTCCATTGAGGATCATTTGATTATTAATAATAATTAGTTTTTTGTTATAGACAAACAAGAAATTATTTTCTTCATTTCAAAGTGAATGCTTCTTAAATCTGAAAAAAAAAACTTAAAGGAGAAATTTCAACACTTTCCAATCTTGAAATCATCAATCAGTGAAACAGTGTTGTTTGGATAATCTTGAAATATTGCCAGTTGCAATTTAATGTATTATTTTCCTCTTTAATTGTTTAGCATTATGAAGGAGATTCGGATGGGCTATGTACAAGACTAGCCAAACCTCTGAAAAAGAAAGGAGGACACTATGATTTTTCTGTTGATCCAGAGTCATTCGAAAAAGGTTTGTAGTCTTTGCCAATAATTGTTTCAAAGTCGGATAATTATGTATTGTCAGTAGCTCCTTAAGATTACTGTAATGCCAGACTGCCACATTTCAAGTTTGCCCAGAAATTATTTTGATGACATTGTTTTGAGAAAATTGTGTTTATTATAAACTTTTAATCTGTTACATTTGACAGTTATTGGTTTTGTCAAAATGTAGTGTTCCATCTGCACAATTTACTAATATAGCATGAATTTAAATTACAGCCTTTTGTTTTGTTTTGTTTTCTCTATCAGAGGGCTGGTCCATACAACGCACAGATTTGCATCTGGGAAAGTCTATTGGCAAAGGAGAGTTTGGAGGTATGAATAAAAATTTTCAGCTGCATGAATTGGTTTGTGATCTGACAATGTTGAGCCTTCCAAATTGATCTGGTGGGTATTTGGGTTTAGTTACCAAAGGAATTTTCATAAAAACAACTGAAAGCTATTACAGCTACAATTGTCTTGGTGTGAGTCACATTGAGAGTACATGAGTAAAAAAATTCTTTGAAGTTCTAAGTGACAAATTATTAAAACATTGGTGGTTGATTTTAATTTAGATGTTCTTCAAGCTGAATACAGAGGAAAAAAAGTAGCTGTCAAGTCTCTGTTAGATGACAGCCATGCTGCTCAGGCCTTCCTAGCAGAAGCTTCTATCATGACGTATGTTTGAATCTCACTGTAGACAGTTACATGTAGTGATGTTTTGCAGTATATTTTAGATCACAGTGTTTATACAGTACAAAATAAAGGTTGGCAGTGGATCTCATTCCTCCTACTTTTGAATATCCTTCAGCAAGAACTGTCATCGTGATACTACAACAACAACAACATTTATTATTTATAGTACACCTTTTTGATAAAAATAATCAAAAGTGCATTACAAAAAGTTCTGTCTGACAAGCCAGTCTGTCTGACAGAACTTTTCCTTATCATCAGGTGCGAAACTCAGAGTCACAGAGAATTGATGTGTCATCTTTAATTCTCTAACTTATGTATACTTAGCTCTGCTACCACGGCATTGAGCACTTTTATGCCAGGGTAGACTCTACCCCCCATTCTCATATATATATATATATAGTTTATATATATACTCCATATATATATATATATATATGAATGTGGGGGTAGAGTCTACCTTGTTATATATATAATTATATACATGTGTTCTTAAAGTACCTAATAGGTCTTAACAAAATGCCTTGGAAAACAAATAAGTCTTATTAGTAACATTTAAAAGAACCAATGTTTTTTGCCTGCCTTGGCAAAGGAAGGCATTGTGCATATAGCTTTCTCCATAAGCCGCTACCAATCTCTACTCTCTAATGTAAGTAGGGAGCGTATCTGTATTCAATGTCTATTACAGTACTGTTTACATATCCTTTGCTTTTTGCAGGGATTTGAATCACAAAAACCTTGTCAAATTAATAGGTGTATCAGTGGGAAAACCTATTTTCATTGTAACAGAATTTTGTGGAAAAGTAAGTGCAAAGTTTATCTTTTTGAGTATGTGGTTTTAAACCCACTTTCAGCAATCAAGTGTACATACTTTCGAATAATGAGACAAGAATTGAAACTGTTGTCAACTTTTCTGTGGATTCTATTTCTAGGGAAGTTTAGTAGAATACCTAAGAACAAGAGGGAGGACTGTGATTAGACAGAAGGATCTAGTAGGATTTGGAAGGTAAACTTTAAACAGAATGAAAATTTCACATGGATTAATGAAAGAGTAAATTAACTGTGTAAAGACATGAACAGAGGGAGATGCAATGAAGATTAATTTTTCCTAGTGTTGTATTGTCTTTTTGAATAAATAGGAGAGTGTGCTAGACCTCAGGTTATTGCATTATGTTCTTAGGCAAGACACTGTATTCCCACAGTGTGGCACACCCCCTCCCCTTGTAAGAATTGTAAATTGTCGCAGAGAGCTGTGGGGGGAAAACTGACAATTTCTGTGGGGGTGAACTGCAATGGATGGGTTTCCCCCCAAGGGAAGTAGAGATTCTTTGAGATGCTTCATGCTCAGAAACAAGAAAAGAATAATGCTTGACAGTGTAAGCAATGTGGCTCAGAGGCAGGCTATATTAGATTTCATGTTTGTATTCTTATCAGTTTGTTTTTTGACCATGCGATTGTTATTAAGAGAACTTTTCCCCAGTCCTCGATTAATAAACTGAAGTTCTATGTGACCTATGGGATATGCTTTGTTTTACCTAAACAGGGATGTAGCTGCTGGTATGGAGTATTTAGAGTCAAAGAATTTGGTTCACAGGTATGAGATGCCTTTACTAGCACCCATTTTTAACATCAAGGGTATTTGTTTAATCTTTGCTTTCATTATCTTTGAGGCTGTACCAAAAAAAACCTCTTTTCTTGAGATGTGCAATTGTTTGTAACACTTATGATGTTGAGACTACAAGTAGCTAAAAACCAGTGTTTTTCATCATTTGATAGCAACATCTACATCCCAGTATAATTATTGTGTCACTTAATAGTTTTGCTCATCAAATGTGATTCTTTTTTTCCCCTTGCAAATGAGTAGTGCTTAAGGTTTAGATTATAAACACCTATTCAAGCTGTTTGATATGGCTTTTATGTTATGGTCTCTCTGTCTAGTCAGATAGCAGCTGACACAAAACTGACCATTGCCCAAAGGACTGAAGTAAAGAAGTCATATTTGTCATGATGATGCCTCTCTCTGTAAACCACCCAGTACAATTAAGATGACCCTTTTATTTGAAGGAATGAAGAATTACTCAACTGTGTAATGTTATAATTTATCCTTAGGGACCTGGCTGCAAGGAATGTTCTCATACATGAGGATGGAACAGCAAAGGTATGTCTTTTGCTTTTGGCTATGGTGTTGGCTGACATTTAGAGGAACAGCATTATTTCAAACTAGTTGCCAGACTAATTAAAAGATTACGACATTTGATATTCGTTGTCTGAAATGAAATTCAATTTAAGTGTATCAGTGATTGTCATTATCATGGCAGGTGTCAGATTTTGGACTTGCACGAGAAGCTAACTTTAATTTAGAAGGAGGAAAGTTCCCTATCAAGTGGACAGCACCTGAAGCCATCAAACATGGGGTATGTTCAACTTATGTTAAGTGCTCTAATAAGCCTAGAAACTGATTGATAAAACATTGACTGTTATTTACACTGCTTGCTTAAAGCTCAAATGAAAAAGAATGAAATGACTCCATGGTTAAAGGTTTTGATTAGCCCTTTACATACCCTGACATCAGTATTCACATTCTCCTCAATGATCTTTTTAAATTTCTTACGGTAATGACAAGGAGAATTTCTTTGACAATCAGGAACTTCTTAAACTGGTGATCATTTCTGTTATTCTCATGACCTTTACATTTAACTTTAGGGTGATACTGTGAGGAGAAATTAGATGCCAGTCACTCTTAGGGGTTGAAGGGTTAACCCCTTAAACCCCTGAGAGTGACTAGCATCTAATATCTCCCAACAGTATAACCCCTGCATCACACAGTAAGGTCATGAGAATAAAGGAAATGATCACCAATGAAATATTCTCTATCACCAACAAGTATCTCATGCCATAATTGACCATTGATTGTTATTGAAAATCCCTCAAAGAAGTTACTTGGGCATGAAACTGACCAAGAGGCATGGTTGTAACAAAACTCTTATTAGTGCATTAATTCCTGAGTTTATTTGCAGAGGTTTTCAACGCAGTCTGATGTGTGGAGTTATGGTATCTTACTGTGGGAACTGTTTTCTTTTGGCAGAACTCCATACCCCAGAGTGGTAAGTGATGCAAGCTTTTATTAATTACTACATTATTTCTTTGTCGCACTGGACACTGCCTGTTCCTGGTATTGAGTAAGTTAAATGAAACATGATTATCATTGATAATTAACTGGCTGATATTTTGGTTGTGTAATAAATGCCATTAAAACTTCTGGACAAGGATTTAAGTTGTGTATTCATTCATATTTCTCAGCACATAGACAATGTAATGGTTAAAATTGAAAGTGGGTATCGCATGGAATGCCCTGATGGATGCCCTGTTGGAGTTTACGATGTGATGAAAGATTGCTGGGACATCACTCCAAATCAACGACCAACATTCCACAAAATATACAAGACCTTAGAACGGTTTCACCAATCATTTTTACCAGATGGAAACTGATGCTACCTTCTTGAAATATAACTCCTTTTGGTAATGAAACCATATCTGTCAGAATGAGAAATGCTTTGATTGTCGATGTCAATCTTTCCTTTCTCAGTGACAAAAGTTGTAATAATAACTCCATGAAGCATCTCATTTCACTTCCACCCAGAATTTTGATGAAATTAGTTTTGTGTTTCAATTTTCTTTTTCTTTTTTTTTTTTTATTTGATGAGGAAAGTTTCTAAAGTTAGTTTTGGTAAGAAAAGTAAATTTGTAAAGAAAGCATTCAATTTTTATTTATCTTTGAAGTTCTATGGTGAAACAGTCGCCATTAATTAGCTCATGAACAAGTAGGTAATAAATGCAATATTGATATGGAAATGATAATACCTAGGTAACAATATATATCAAGTTTATTGTTAGACATCTGTGAAATATCCATCTGATTTATTTTCCACTTCAGCTAGAGATGTAATTTAAGTGATAGACAAAAATGACAGAAGTTTAACATGAATTTATCATATGATTTTCTTTTGAGCTATTGATTTGGACAGCCCAAATAGTTTATCTAATCAAGGAGTACTTTTGCTCTTTTTTTTTTCCCTCAAGACATGGAGTCAATTTAGAATTTAACTCCAAATTTGACAATTTCTTATCAATGCCACAAAGTTAGTAACAGTTTTTGTAACTATAAGGACTTAAATTTAAATTTAATGAGCCTTTTTTTATACACGTGTATAATATTTGACTTAAAGCACCTAAGAAGTTGAGATGCAGAAGCAGAAGTCTAAATTAGTGATAAGTAATTGGTTGCTAGTTGGATGTTACTGGATGAAGAGAAGAAAGTTGCATCTTACTTCTCTCAATTATATCATTGCTTATCTATTAAACAACTTGATCACATATATGTTGTGAGCTTAAGAGATACTTTAGGAGCAGGAAGCTTTTCTAGGTGCCCTATAGATAAAGACAGGCTCTACAGAATATTAAAAGGTTCACAGGAAAGGTTTCTGAAAGGAAGGAGGTGTAGGAGGGTGCAAAAGAAACGTAAAATGGCCATTGAAAGTAAATAAGTTTAAGTTGCTCTTGTGTTAGTGATTGGATCATGTTGCTATTGCAGTTATAAGTAGGACTGGTGACTATTTGAAATTCTTATTTGCCAGATTAAAAGGCTAAGCAAATCTGTTCAGACCTTTGCCGTAGCCACTGGAACCTCTCATGGGTTTGTCTGTGATAGAAAGTAGTTGTATGTTTTGATCTGTGGCATCCAGTAATTGTCTTTCTCCTACCTTAGGTCCTTTCGGGCCTTTCACTGTTAATCAGCAACATTTTTTCTTGCTTGAGTGTAATTAAAGTAATACTGGAAGTAAATAAGTTTAACATTTTTAATCATCTGCAGTAACTATTTTAACCAAAATCAAATCCTTTTATCTGTGATCCTGGCAATTTCATGATAACCAAGTTCAAAGTTAATCATGGAAAATTGATGCACTAGTCATTCTTTTGTAGGTCATGTGAATGATTTGCTACAAGAACTATTTTTATACTATGGAAAATATATTTCTGTAAACAGGATGCCCATAATAGATGGTTGTTCTGTTAACATTGCTTAATTGGGTGAAATCTTAAAGTTTGAATATTAGGCATCAGTAGATTTAAGTGAGAATGTCAATGTTAAGTTCTTTGTACATCCAACACTTTGTAAATGAAGAATCATTAACCCTTCACACAATAACATCAGTATCCATATTCTCCAAACTCTTCTCTTCACATTTGCTTTGGTACTGATAAGGAGAATTGTTTTAACAATCAGAGCCTTTTAGGTTGGCTATAATTTCCTTTATTTTCATGATCTTGATTAATGATTCAGCAGAATTATTGTTGGGAGAAATTAGGTGCTGGTCACTCTTAGGGCTTAAAGGGTTAAGGTGGGAGAACTTTAAGTTGTACTAAACTCAAATATATTGAAAGAATATTACTTTATACTTCATAGGAAAGCAAGTTATTAGTCTAGGCCTTAAAATGTATCTTTTAATTATTACTGTAAGCTGTGTGTTAATCCCATGTCACCAACTATGATATCCTTTAATTTTTTCATTTAATAGGATTAGCAATTCTTTTACCATTGTTTCTGTTGAAAAGTAATATCAACTTGTGTCTTCTTAGACTAATTCTAGACTTGAAAAATATTTTAGGATCTTCATTTTTTTGTAAAGCTTAAGCTTGTAATAAAAAGTGTGTGTTGAGAGGTATCTTCATTTAAATTTCGTAATTCCCTCTGGTAAATATAATTTTTTAAGTTGTCATGAATATGGAAGCTATTTTTCATACACAAGTGTTTATATGAATAAAGGAAAACAACAGTTCCAGAGGGTGAGTGTGATGTGTTTGTCTGGGTGAGGCTAATCATTGCAAAGGTAGAATAATTAATGTTTCAACTTAACTGAAAGTGTCATTTAAAGGGTTTAACACCTGAGTTTGATCTGATTTTAGCAAATTTGAGTGGTACGGGTTTGAGAATGTCCTGAGATTGGAAGATTTAATGACTGCGCATTGGATAAATTGGATTTATGTAGAAAGGTATCATTTATCTTTCAAAATAACTTATGCACTGAAGTAAGTATGACCTTGATTAAGCATCACCCCTTAACAATTGTTGCCCATGAGAGCAAGAATAATACTTAGTATAGCCTTGCATAAGTGCTCTATTTCAACCAAGCTTTGTTTGGGGAATATGACTAATGTTCAAGTGCCCATAGGCTTGATTACCAGCTGCTGTTCAGGAATATGAGCATCTGCTCCTTCCCTCAAACCCTCTCTTCAAGGGGGGGGGGGGGGG